CCTGACCCATAATGTCCACACTTTCATAGATGGACATTCACTGTTTCTTTAAGAGAATAGGCTCACAGCCACGTTCAAGTATGGTAATATAAAACAACCCCACTGAGAAGCCTAATAACCCAGTATAAAAATAAATAAATATGTGAATATAACTTTGAGTGTAACCTGCATGTACTTCTTGGAATGACAAATTCTTTATTACTTTTTGGTTGGCCACACAAGAAGGAGAGGAAGATGGGGAGGGAGCACAGGAGAGAGAGCAAGATGAACAAGGTTAGAAAAAAAACAGGCAAGACCATTATATATTTAAACACATTTATGAGAGAGACTCATATTACTGGTACCTTTATTCAAATGGCAATTTGCAATTCAATGATATTTTGCAATGGACAATTGCATATGCAAAGTGGTGATGCACCTTCATAATTTTAGAATTATTTCAGTCATATTTATGAATGAAAACTGTGTACAGTTAGTTTAGTACAAAATGTTTGTATGTGTGAAAAAAAGTGCAACCCAATGAAATAACTATTATTGAACTTGCATGGCCACCGCGTTGTTCAAGCCAAGAGTCATTGGCAGTACTGGGGGGCTAAGCACCCGAACAGGTCAAATCCTAGAATTGCCCCTGCTTAGTTCAGTGCCCTGACATGATTTCTGTTGTGACTTGGCACTATATAAATAAACTGAATTGAATTGAATAGAAATTGACCTTTTAACAAGTATACATTTATTTCAATTCCATAATTATAGTGTGTGCCTAACTTGCTGAGTCAGTGTATTTGATTTGAGTAAAATTCTGTAGTTTTTGCACAGAATGCTAACAGTATTAAGTACAGTATTAAATTACTACTTGATGACTAATACTTGGAAAAAATCATTTCTGCCAACAGCAAATATTTCAATGTACATTTGTCACAAACATAAAAAAGAGAAAGGTCAGAACATTAACAATGATATGAAGCGTATACTGCAGAAACGGCCTGTCTCTAAATCTGGCATTTTAAAATGTTCTGATAAAAATCTAAATCAATTACACACTTTGTGAATGGTAATGCAATTTTAAAGTAATTTTTGCAGGAGTTGTCTTTGCTGAGGCTTGAAGGGGGTCATACTGCATGTTCGCAACAATGATGAAAACTTTTCCACCAAACTTACGTCAACGATGTTATGCCGAGTGTAGCCGAACGAATAAAAAAGTAATGTCTTCAAGTATTCACCAGTCACAGTGTTCATCTTGACTTGGCTGTCTGCTTTGTAAAATCCTTAAGTTTTACTTAATAAAACAACATATTTGTTGAACCTAACACACACAAACTTCTTGTTTAACAGTTTGAGGAGATGAGGGACTTGGGGGCTCTTCCAGAGTCCTGATGCTGTGTCTGGATTGAGGCAGATACAGAAAGGAGCTGGAATTATGTTTTTTTAGTTAAAGATTTGGTGGGTGGTGCTGCTGAGGATTTGGCTGAACTGCCTTGACATGGTGTGACCTTAACATGGATGAAGAGGGAGGCCGGTGAAAGGCTTGACCCATTCAGCTTGAGCAGCTGGACATGACGATAACCTGCGGATGTCGGGGGATAGAAGGTCAGGATTACACTTGTAGTTACACAGAGTTAGCATCTTTCAGTCCACTCTCACCTGTACGAAGACTGGCAACAGGAAGGGTGTATTGTCCCAGGAAATTGTTGCTTGAGGTGTAGTCATGGTCCTCCACTACAAAGCGGACAAGAGCCAGTTCAGGGACATGGATGGTAAAGTTAAAAGTGCAGTCCCATCGTGGATTGAAGCCTGAAATAAAGAATGAACTTGGTCACATTAAAGTCATGTTTATGTCCCATGAAAAACCAGTCGAACAGTTTCATCAAGGTGTGAAAATTTGCATACCATTGTTGTCCACGTAATGAGTTTTCTTCTTCATGTTGTCAATGGGGGCTCCGTGTATCTCAACCCATACTTGAGGGTCGACAATGGAGCTGGGCTTGTCCATTTCTGGTTTTGGCAGCTGCTGAGCTGAAATAACCTAATGTAACAAAAATATCAAGATAGATTTTACAGAGCTAGCGTAACAGGATAATTTTGACAAAAATGTAGATTCCAGAAGTGATCTGTATGTTTCTGGTTGGACTGAAGATGTAACTCTAAATGCTTGAACTGAAGATAGAGGGACTTTCTTGCTCAGACCTTGAAGAAATTCTTAGTTCTGTAGAATGAAAGCTTTAAGATGAAAGCCAACCCTAACCCTAACGCCAGTCATGGGTTCAACTCCCCGCCATGCCCACATGTCATGGTGTCCTTGAGCAAGACACCTAAGCCCTAACTGCTCCCCGAGCGCTTACATTCATTCAGCCTTTATTTCTACAGATTAGTCTCATTGAGCCTCGAGAACTCATTTACAAGAGAGACCTGTTTTAAACAAAGAACACAGATGAGGTACAGACAACAATAGACAATCATATAAAAGCATATATAATGAAAAGTAAATAAAAGAAGTGATATAAAAATGGGAAAAAAACAGCTACATTATAAAACTGTGTAAAATACTATAAACAGGAACATGTAAATGGTAAATGGACTGTACTTATATAGCGCCTTTCTATCTTATTTCAAGATACTCAAAGTGCTTTACACTACAATCTGTGTCCTCATTTACCCATCCATACAACACTCTACTAGATCTCTACAAAGCTAATTGAACAAATCATTCTAAAGAGACTAATCGGAGCTTTAGATCACATTTATACACTGATGGGACACACATGAGAGGCAGGGGCGCAACTACATATTTTTGAGGTGGATGCGAACACATCATCGGCGCCCCCCCCCCACCCGCTCCTTTTTACTTGCCGCCTCATACAGCTTAGTCATGCACTTAGAAAATACAGTAGTAATATTACAGATTTTTTTAATGTTACATATTATATCAGGTGATCATTTCAATCATAAACAAATAAGAAGTTTTATAAAGTACAAATATATAACAGTAGTGGTACTCAGTCAGTGCTCAACATTTTATGTAGCGGAAATATGACATCTTAACAGCCTGGAGTCCATGTCAGAGTTTTAACATTTATGACATTTAAACTGTTACATTCCGTGACTTTGCATTTGCCCATTTGTCAAGTATAACATCAAATGAAATAGACCGTGCCACACTGTTTTCAATAGAGATCACTGCTAACTGGGACAAGCGATCATTGCTCATATTTGAACGAAGGTATGTTTTGATGAGCTTCAGCTTGCTAAATGATCTCTCTGCAGATGCAACTGTCAGAGGCATGAACAACAAAAAAGGTTGAATCATGTCATCTGGACTTCGTTTTTTTGTTAAAAAGAAACGTTTCGCCCCTCATCCAAGAGGCTTCGTCAGTCTGAGGGCGAAACGTTTCTTTTTAACAAAAAAACGAAGTCCAGATGACATGATTCAACCTTTTTTGTTGTTATATACCTGGATGACTGAGAAAACAAACTT